ATAACCAGGACATTATTCGGATCAGCTTTGCGGTAAATAGGGAGCTAGTACCTGCAGGACCCAGGATATAAGGGTTATCACAGCTACCAGTACGATTTCTTCTGGCTGATTAAGGTTGTAACTTGAATAAGAGAAACATCGGGGTCAGATTGCGTGTGGTACCAAGCCTACTATGGATGGCCTTAGGGCTGCTGTCAGGGCGAATTCCCATCGACATAAGGGCGAATGACAAGGATAGGGTGAGGGTTGATGTTGTTTGGAATCAGGAGTCAATTAACGATCCTCGCGTCGATATGTTGGTATCTAGTACAGCTTTAACCTTAGGGTTAGCACGTGTATATACACACATAAATGTACATACACGCACACGGGCAACAAGTCCGAGATGATCATATCTTACAATGAGAAAAGGGAGTGCCATATACAATACGATGAAGTAAACAAACAAATGTTGGTATCATTCCTAAAAATCTAAGGGCCATCATTTGGGCAACGCCAGAGCGCAGACAGCAAGGATCGTGGATCTTAGTGGGCATCGTTTTGTGTAACTTAATATTGGCATCAATGTGACAGCTACCGTTGAAGCAAGTGTTAGGCAAGTATTTAGCATGCCTGTATTCATATTAACAATAAGTAGTATTAGGGATGCCATGACTTTAAAATCGGGGACTTGAATGCTCGTGCTAGGGATCCCACAAGAAGGTCCATCTTGGAGTCATATCTAATATCAGGGTTGCCAAGGGGACAGCAATGTTCTTACTATCGGGGCGGCCAATCAGGCTGATGTATGTTATTGTATTAACATTCAGGTGGATATGGGAGTTTGAAAGGGAATGTATATTGGAGATCAGTCGACATAGCATTTCAATGCATATGAACTAAGACGTGAATCTACAAGGACTCTCTTTTGGGTGAACATGAAAAAGAAGACTACTGTCACCATTGGGGCCAATGTAATGTTTAATGGCACGGTTAGTCTTAGGGATACTGTTGTTTGGGTATAGGAGTCAGTCAAGGCCCACGGTCATTCATACATATTGCTGGGGCTTTGGTCTGAGACTACAGTGAAGTCTCCTTTGACAGACATGACTTTCAAAGATGGAGATATCATCTCGGAGTATCTGCGTGAAGGGTGGCAAGAATTCAGAATGAAGGCTTCTGCGGATATACATATGCTGTCTCTTCGGAACTTCAAGACCTGACGTTAAACCTGGATCATACATCAGAAGATTAAACGTAGGAGGATTGGTCGCGCTATCGCGGCACCTCGCGGTAGTTCTTGGGCTGGTGTTATCATATCCATATATATACATGTATAAACAAATATATATATATACATACATACACATCGGGCTCAACGGGCCCTGTTCTTTTGAAGTGCCAAAACGGTGCGGAAACAAAAAGTTTGCTAAGCGACCCCGAAAAAGTTTTCTAAGCGTGAACCCCTTACCCTTGACTTCCTAACCCTCCTCAAAGGAGCGAGAGGCAGCAAAGCCCGGAGCCCTACACGATCTGGCTCGCGTGTTCTTCTCGGCTCAGCACTCCTTGGTCATAGCCCCCTCACGACCATATCTCCCATTCTCCTCCTCTTGATCCTCCTCATCATCATCATCATCAGAGCATCATCTGCCCTGTTGCCAGGATTCGACATACTGCTTGATGAGCTTACTCGAGAATGGAAGGCCGTCTCACAGAATCGAACAGCAAAACCCGAGTGACCGATCTGAGGCAGCCGCGGTTGCTGTGGAGGTTGGGAGGGGTGCTGCGGCTGCTGCAGTTGCAGAGGCTGCTGAGGCTGCTGAGATTGAGGTGGAGCGGGGGGTGTTGGAATCTGCGACACGGGAGGCCTGATGATGCAGCGGGATTGCAGACACTCACTCATCTCTGCATGGCGCTGTTCTTTGTAAACTGAGAACAGGGCTTCTCACTCTCAGCCTGCAGCTGCTCAAACAGTTCGTGATTGAGTGGAAATCCAGCAAGAAGAGTGCATACAACCACCCTGCCTGCGGCTCCCTACTCGGAGCTGTCTCCTAGACCAAAGGACGTAACAAGCGCCGAGGCAAGGAAGTGATGCAAAGGCGGACAAGGGCACTTTCATTGAACCCAGATCTTTGAACCCAACCTAATCTATCCTGAACCCCAACCACCTAACCCAATCCAACCTCACCTCAACCCACAATGCACATAATCTGATTCTGACCTCACCTACACCAACCTCACTACCCCAACCTAACCTAACCCCCAACCTACCCGAGCCTGACCCTGGCCTGAACTTAACCCGACCTAACCTAACCCAACCCAACCCGCCCCAACCTACCCCAGCCTTGTCCAACCCACCCAAGTGACCTAACCTAAGCCACCTGGACCTGACCTCTAACCCAGACTTACCCAAGCCACGCGAACCTACCCCAAGTCCCCTGCAACCAAGCTCAAGCCGACCTAGCCTACTCTAGCCTTACCTAACCTGACCTGGAACGAACCTAACCCAACCCAATCAAGACTAACCTACCCCTGACCTGGCCTACCCTAACCAAGCCTAGAGGAACCTAACCCAACCTGCCCTGCTCTAACCTATCGGAAAATCTTGGCGAGCTGACTGAAAGAACGTTTGGGCTCACTGAAAAGCAATTGCGTACGCTGCACCATGGTCGATTCAAAGGGCCTTGGGTGCCGGTCGATCACGCCAGTTCGTGGAGCGTGAAGCTTCAGAGTCTCGGTCGCGCCAGGAGCCTGGGAGGATCTTGGATGAAGTTCTCAATCAGAACGCTGAGTGCTTAGGCAAGGGCTCGCAGCCTTGGCCTCTGCTGCCTTTTCTTCACGCTCCTTCTGCTCCTTCTGCTGCTGCAGCTTGGAGTTGAAGAAGCGCGGGGGTCCTCGCCAAGGTAAGACGCCAAGTTGGCACTCCTCTCGCTCGATCCCCGGCCTGAGGGCTTCGCTGCTGGCCTCAGACTGGGCTCCCGCTTCGCCGCTCCGCCGGTTCTCCGCTTGGCTCTGCTTTAACCGCGGCTTCTCGGACGCAGACGTGGACGTGTCAGGTCGTGCTGTCCCGGCCGAAGGAGTCGCAGGGGCACCGCTCCCGCCAAAGCGCCAGTTCTCTGAACCTGCGGAGGGATTTGCAGCAGGGCAAAACGAGCAAGAGTTGTTTCGGATCGCCTCCTGATGGCGTCTGCGGCTTCGGCGGCGGCGCCTCAGGCACAAGAGCTTGCTCTCCTTGCATGTAAGAGGAGCCCGTCGAAGGCTGTGCAGCCCACCTTCTCCGCAGTCGGCCTGGCATTCCAAGGCCACGCCAGTGGAAGATCGACAGTCTTCGTCTCAGCTCGGCACGTTGGCGCCGAGTTTCCCGTCAGCCGGCCTAAAGAGCACGCGCCAGGCCAACTCGCGGCAGAAATCCACAGCAGCAAAGGCTCCCGCCCCGACCAAGAGCATCCCAGCGATCCTCCTAGGATTCGGATCAAGCCGCGATGCCGCACGGATCCACGCGGTGTGGGCACAGCCTTCACCTCTTTTTTGTCATCCTTCTTCTCCAAGGCAGTCTCGCGTCGCTTACCGATGGCCGCCCATCTCAGCATGCACGTCGCTGGCCAGAGGAACAATCTAAGAAGCAGGACTGAGACTTTGACTCAGCCTTTTCTCTGTCTGTGGCCTTGAAGGCCGTGGACCTTGCAGGGAAACTTTGCCATTGCCCTTGCCCCGTCTTCAAAGGTTGGGGTCCAGACTCGATGCTCGTCTTGCCCTTCTCCCAGGGAGGCGTGGCCTTCGAGTGTCTGCGCGGTCTACGCGCGGTGACCATAAGAGCCGCTTTGCAGCTGGGCGGCTGCTCTGTCCTTCCGTTGGACCACCGTGGCTGCCTGAACCAAAAAAAACCGCACACTGGGATTGGGTCATCTCGGAGCTGATGAGCGCTCCTCCGCCTCCTCCTTGGCACGGAGCTCCTTCTCCTGCCCAAGCCATGACTTGCACTCGTGCTCAGGGAAGATGCTTCCGTTCATGAGGCCGCAAGAAAAAAGCTGATGAAATCGGTCACCAATCCAATGGCATTGAGCCCAGAAAAGGCCGGGAAGTCCTGGCCTGGGTGCTCTCCCTGCGATATCCCTTGTGCTGCCGGAAACGCTGCTCCAGGGACTGGAGTTCGACGTAGACCTCAAGAAAGCCACACAGTGCACTAGGAGTACCATCACCTGCTGAACCAGCTGAGCTCTTGGCCGCAGCGTACTGGTCAACCTTTGACTGCTCCTCCTGCGGTGGGGGTTTTTCAAAAGCCTTTTTCTACCAAAAGGGGACAAAAACTGTGAGCGCGAGATTTGAGGCCTCCGTCAGGTGCTGCCCATTTTCCACCTGAGCCTGCTTCAAGAGGCAAAAAAGGATATGATGATATGATATGCTCATATGACTCACATGACTTGTTTGCGGTCTTCAAAGTGCCTTGAGTTCGTTGATCTCGGCCATTCGCTTTCGGCAGTTTGCAATCAACGCCTGAGTTGTGCTGCTTGACACTGGCAAAGCCCGGCACCGAGGTGCTGGAACTTTTCCCTTACCTCGAGGTTCTTGACCATGTAGCTTCCTGATTTCATTTGCACCCTATCTCTCGCTCCGGTCCTGTTTTTGTGTAGGAGAACTGGCCTGCTTCACCCGGGCCGGAGGGAGCTAGCTCCGCAGCCTGGAGTCATGGAGAGTCGGAACGGAGCGATTGAGTGAAGGAACCAGCTCAGCCTCAGGAGCTCATAAGAGAGTGCGAGAGCGAGAGAATGAGAGGAGGGCCGGGGGCAGGGCAAGAGTGAGGGGGAAGGGTGAGGGGCGGGAGGGAGGGGGGAGGAGGAGGAGTCGCTCCGCGAGGGAAGTGACACATCTCGGACCCGCTCCCAGTTTGGCATGTTGACGTTCCGATCAAAGTCCAACTCCTCGATGTCACATGTGGAGTAGTTGATCTTCACTGCCTCAGAGACTCGATGCTCCGGTTTCGATTTGCAACAAGCCCTTCCCCTTCACGGATGGTGTACACCACACGCCACCTTGATGAAATATTTCACCGGCAGCCATCCATCCAACCTCGTGCAGCTGCTTGCAAGTGCAAGATATCGCAAAGCTTCAAAGAAACCACTAGATCCGTGCCCTTGGGTGAGAATGACCTCATTCTTGCTGCGATAGAAGATCATCCCATCCTGCCGAGAGAAAGGAAACGATGGAGACATGACAAGGAACAACGTCGTGCAGTCCAGCATGGCTGCCGGGACATCGATGTAGAGAAACAGCTCCGCAGTGGATCGCATGCCCCGGATCTTGCCATCCTCTTCACAAGGGATTGGGAGGGACCCGGAGAGAAGCCCATCAGGGGCCCCTGCCTCCGGGAGGCCCGGCGCGAGATGGATGTGGTTCCGCGCCACCTGAAGAGCAAAACAAAGCATATAGCCAATAGCAGAGTAGTGCACAGTCCAGCAACTATGGGCACACCTTCGAGAGGCCCTGCTTCTTGATGAAGGGCCAATGCACAAGGTACGTGCCGTGAACACAGTCCTGCACCTGTCGCGCAACACAAGGCTTGCGCCTGCCGCTTGCCCTTGCTTGGGCCGTGACGGTACTGGGGTCCGTGATGGGCTCCAGGAGGAGGTCGTCCTCGACAACCTCAGTCCAAGACCACTTGATACCACATGGCACGCGGAACCAGATTGAACGGGGCTTGGAGGCCTTCATGGTGTGACCCTGGTTGGCACGGATCAAGAGCTCGCCATCGAACTCCCGAACCTGTGCAAGGCCCCCTACCCCCGGTCTCTCAAGGCAATGATGCAGGGGCTTCAGGCTCCGGCCATTGTGTAGCGCTCCTTCTCATCGAAGTAGACGCAAGCCATCAGCTCCTTCGGCATCCGCGGCGCTGCGGCACTCAGGTAAGTCATGGCTCCGGTGGCAATGGCCTCCAGGTTGTACGGTCGGAAGTTTTTCAGTTCCATGATGTCTTTCAGCCGGACGAAACCATCCTCGGGAGAAGTGTAGAGAAGACTGGACAGCGGGAGCAGGACACCCACGCAGAGCCTTCCGGATTCTCACATCCAGCTTGTGAGCTGCATGCCGTAGCACATACGAGAACCTTGACACAGCAAGCCCTCTCCGGGTTATCTCAAAAATCAGGCTGAGGTTGCCACATCTTGGAGATCTTTACGTGTTCACGATCCTCTGCCATTCTGTTGAAAATGGGCTCCAACTGTGCCTTTTCGGGGAGCATGCAATGACACTCGATGCTTCACTCGACATTGATGCGCGCACGAGGCCCGTTTTGAACAGCGTGTAAGGATCTCCCTAGTCACGCAAGCGTAGATCTCCGCAGCACGGGGCTCGGAGTGTGGAAATGCATGGCCGTCCTCGTGCGAAAGCTCGAGAAGATCTGAGTACATGTCCCGAAGTGACCTCTCTCCTGCCTCGAAGAAACCATCATTCTTGCAAGTATAAACACGCAGAGTTGGCTGATCGGACAGCCACCCGACAGGCCAACTGAAGATTGGGTCGTCGATTTGACCACCACTGAACATGACTGTCAATGCCCAGGGGGCTTTCCGAACACCTTTTCGACGGAGACTGTCCAGGGCCAAGGACACGCAGTTGGATCCCTGTGAGAAGCACAGAAGCACATCGACTGGATCCTGTGCCTGAACCTGGCTCAAAAAGCCATCGACCCCCTCATCAACAAAGTTGTAGCAGCCGTTCCCTTGTGAATACCAACCGCGAAACGGCTCGCCTTTTGAGATCGTCCTCTCCAGCTGACTAGGCTCTCGAAAAATCGGATCATCGGCACCAGCAACTTCTTGCCAGATGAAAGGAGCATCCAGACATATCCACTCTGCATCTTGAACTGCCTGAAATGCTTTCATGAAACGAAGGCTCTGAAATTTCATGATGGCAGAGTTGGAGTTTGCCCCGTGCGCCAACAAAATCCGTAGTTTACGTGGCGAGAATAAGTCGCGTCGCGGCTGAAGAGCATCAAGCATCCCAGTCGAGTCCACAAGCTTCACTTCTTTGTCTTCCTCCTCTGTATTCTCCTTCTCGACCGAGGACTCCTTCGCAGTCTGCAATACGTGCAAGACATCCGGGTCGGTCTCGTCTTTGATCAACTCTGGAAGCATCTCTGTCAGAGCCAAATGTCCCGAGTCCCACCGTGCCGAGGATGCTGCACGAAAACGCACGCGCCAGCAAGGATCTCGTAGGAGCCCAAGGAATCGAGATTGAAAGTCCCTGGCCTCAGGGAGGTCAAGGCTCTTAGAGACCCTTGGCCCGACCAGAGCAGCCTCGCAGCGAACTGTGGCATCGGGGTCGGCGAAAGACTTCGCCAGCAGAACGAGCATGTGTCTTTGTGTTGTGACAGTCTGTTCAGATGCGCCCATGGCAGCGAGAACCCTTAAGGTCTTGCGCCTAAGGCGAAAACATGCCTGGCTGCCTTCACCGAGAAGGCCGTCCAACAGGCTGCTTAGAACTTCTTCAGCCTCATTGGATTGCAGGCCCTGCGCCAACAGTAGTGCCGCACGGAGGCTTGGATCCCGCAGGTCAGAGAGCAGTTCGAAGATTTCTTGGCTGCGACCACGCACGGGCTGAAGCAGGGCCTTCACAGCGGCACTACCACTAGCATTTGTCAACATCGTGTCTCGGCATGGTGCTTGCCCTAGCTACAAAAAATGCAAGACCGGAGATGACAATCAGTGCATCAGAGCCAGGTCCTTCTGCTGCAGCGATACGCTGACCCATCCAGTTGCAGGACCCTGACCGAGACGTAGTCGATATTGGAGCCGTGTCCCTCCCGCGACTTGCTCCTCCTCAACGAAACTTCCCACGAGCAAGCGCCCGACCACCTCTTCAGAGGTACTGCTGCCTGTGCGAACTAAGACGCCGCTCGTGCTCACCACGCGCCAAAGTGCCGGGACCCGTTCAACCAACGCTTTTCCGCTCTGAAGCCGAAGCGATACCCATCCTTCCGCAGGTCCAGATCCGCAGAGCTTGCGAAAGTGTAGCCGATCTCCCGGTTGTGCCAGCTCGGTGAGGAGGGCCCCGGTGGCGAGGCGTTCCTCCGCCAAGTCAGAACGCACATCTTCGCCTACTCGAGCGATGATTCCACCCTTATCGCCACCCCCAACCACCCTCCACACGTGCGCATCTCCAGCCTGCATCCCGTCATCTCGTACTCTTGCAAACTTGCTGGAGCAGTCAAGGCTGCAGGTTTCGACGACAAGAATTGAGAAAGTGTGCAGCTATGAGAATGACCAAAGGCCAGGATAAGTTTAGGCTCAGAACAGCAGTGCCGACATGCGGCCTTGTCTCCATCCCGTTTCAGGTTCCACCGCTTGCCTGGCACTGAAAAGCTCTCGGACACCCGATGGCCCTTCTGCAGCAGTGGGCTCATGCACAGATCTACCAACGATAGCTGTTAACCCTTGCATACCTCCATCGTCATCGTCGTCATCCTGCGACGGGCATTGTGTTTGTGTGGTCATGCTTAGGGCAAGTGCAACCCAGACTGGGTTGCGGTCAAGGCCAGGAGGTTGCGCATCTCCCTGTCCCTGTCCACGCGAAAACAGCACCGCTCCACCTGCCAGCCGCGGAGAAGTGGCCTTCGACGAGGATGCGCCGCCAGCATTTTCACCTGACGCTGGAGCACATACAAGCATCAGATGAAGAAACTTGCTTGAGCTCTGAACTGAAGTCGTTTAGGTCATCCTCGTCCTCCTCCTGCAGACGTGGGCGGAAAGCTTCCGAGTCGTTGAGTGCACATGAGTGCACTTCAGTCGGCCTCATCCGCCGATTGGAAGGAAGCATCCGAGATAGCATCCTGTTTGTGCGCCATCAATCTCAAAGCTCGGCTGTAACGCTCGCAACTGCTCCATGTAGGTGATTGGGCTCTGTATCATAGCAAAAGATGCCTCGTCAGCCTCACCAGACATCTCTGGAGAGCTGCCTCGTCACAAGAGGTGACCCAATACTTCAGAAGTCGGCTGTGCTGCAGCGTAGGTTCCAGACATCTGCGGTCGGCTCTTAGCACATCTACCCCGGGCCCACAGCAAAGCGATCTAGCTTTTGGGGGGCCAAGAGGTAGCTTGCGGAAACACAGCATGAAGGAACCCACACGCAGTGGCGAGGCAGGCGGAGTGGCGGCGACACCCAGGCCGTGCTGTTTTGACACGGGATAAAAGATACCAGTTCTCTCGCTTGAGGGAAGAGCAAGCCGTGGCAAGATTGAGGGACATCACAGAGATATTAATAAGAAAACCTCTTCGCGCCTATAGAGCCTATGGCCCATGGCCTCCCTACCCTCGATCCGCTCGGCAGGCAGTCTTCCAGGCACTCAGCTGCATCATCTGTCAGTGACCTCGGTGACCCGGTGCAGACGTGTGACAAGCCGGACAAGTCGGCAACTCTTTGAGGCGGAGGCCGCCCTTCGCCGGGAGCTTGGAGGAGGCTACCTGATGCTTCGCAGGCGATCAGAGAAGAGCTCAGATGCAAAAGGGAGCGCCTCGCTGAGGATGGCAAACGTCCCCTGAAGATACTCCAAGGGAGCACCCATTCCCAGGTCCTTCCACACCTTGAAAGCCTGGCGCCCGAGCAGGCCGAGCAGTCGGCTGAGTCTTGAATTCTTTTTCTCGAACCCGCACCTTGCCGACCTCCTCCCAGTCAACATAGGGTGCTTCCTCGTTCCCCCACTTGTCCTGAGCTTCGCAGCCTTGAACTAATAGTTTAGGCAGGTTTAGGCATGCTAGAGGGCTTGTAGCCCACTTTCCCCTGGCCCCGCCCACGTCTTTGCAACAGGGTGCAGAGTGGCCCGGCCACGTGACGCCCCACACGTAGGCGTGACCTCAGAACTGTCTGTTGGTATGGACCGTCACTCTTCTTCACGGACAAAGATGCCTCCTGGCGGATACTTCGGCTTCACGTCCTGCAATCGGTCGGTAGGGCGTGCCCTGCTTGCGCCCGAAGCTGTCACTTCCGAGAGTGTCCTTCACCGGGTCGATGAGTGCCAAGGCTGCCTTGTCGTTCCTCTGGCCTCAGAACGCCGCTCTGGCCGGATTGATGCGCATTTCCGCTTCCGATGGCGCTTTTGGCCAGGGCCACGGCTGTTGTTGAGGCCCATCTCCACTGCGGGTTTGATTCGCGGTATCATCGTCCGTGTTACAGACTTTACGGCCTGGCATGGTGAAGCGCATACATCTTCCCTCATCGGTAACTCCTACCCAACACATGTCGCCTGCATCCGGGACCTCGGCCACTCCGACACTGACTACCACATTTCCGAAGAGCAACGTCCGAGCCGCATGGCAGAAGTGCCGGGCCGTAAGTGCCGCACGCCATGGTGGATTCGGCACGGGTTAATGGAAACCTTAATCAAAGCACACGCAGCGCCATGAAACAGAGGCTCTCAAGTCTTCTTCAACTGCAACGCAAAATTTCAGGCTTCCACGCACAAGCAGCTACGGCGTGTAGGACGCAGCTTGAGCACGGAGCTGTTGCGGGAGAAACCAGACTTGCGTGGACTCAGAACTTGCACCCTAATGACACTCGACACAGGGCCAGCGGATTTCGTTTTCCAAGACCAGCGATCTCAGCCTGCTAGCTCCCAGCTGTCACACGGCACGCCCAACAACCACTGGAGTTCTCAGGCCTTCAAAGGCGGGCGATCCTTTCGTCAGTCTCTCCTTCACCGCCAGGTTCAACACGGGCTTCTTGGCCGGCGGAGCCGCCCAGCGATCTTCCGGACTCCGTACAAGGTCGGTCTTCGTTGAGTCCTCAAACCTCACAGGCATGTCACTTCCTCATGTGTGAAAGAGTGTAGATAATCCAGGCTTGCAGATGCTACAAGCAGCTGCTCAACCCTTTGAGCAATGCTGGAAGCATGGCATGGTCCTTGCCCTGAGCTCTGACATGATGCCTTTTTTGCACTTCACACCCCGTTTCGGGACATGACTGCGAGGGCAAGCGCAACACAGTGCGGCATCAACCGAAAAGCACAACTCAACAACCATTTAACCTAAACTCCAAGTAGAAGACCTCGAGAAACAGAGCCCGAAACTGCTCGGCCTGAATGTCGCTATCGAGCTGGGACCACATCGGTTTCTGGACCTTCACATGCCATCCCAGCCTTGCAGCAGTGCCGCCGCACACAGGGTGCAGTCTGCGCCCTGTTTACTTGTCAGACCTTCGCCTAAGAAAAAAAAGCGCCACTGTGAACTGCAAGCAACGCTGCACCCATCTGCTCGGCAGCCAAGTTGCCGAAGCGAATGTGCTCTGCTACGGTCTCGACCCACTGAGTGCAGGTCTCAGCATCGCATGCATCAAAGCAAAAGGCCCGCCGGGCATCTCCGGTGAAAGACGACGGTTCCCGCCAGCCGTGTGGCTCTGCAGGACAGATCACGAAAGCCGTTTCCACTGCCACGTCTTTTCGTACCTGTGCTCGGTGCACTAGAAAGTTGATGCAGCCCTTGGCTTGACCTTTGGTCGACACTCCTTCGTCATCAAACCACATGAAATGACCATCTTGAACCACGCAAACTCGCGGCTGCTGGTCAACTCCAAGGAGACGAAGCATTGCTCGCAGGCGATTTGGACTGGTTTTGAGCAGTGACCCACGCAGCGTTGGCAGCCCAGGCAAGGAATCGAACGCAAACTCCTTCGTGCGTGTCACCGTCGTACCCAAAGACTTCCATGGTAAGCACTCCGGATTCCCACCTTATGCAGCTGGGAGGCTTGTGGGGCAGTCGTGGGGGTCTTGGATTCCTCTTGGGGGCCTCAAGATGCACGGAGCTGAGATCGGGACCTCTCTTGCGGTGGAGGACTGTGCGGCCTTCTTCTCGGAAGAGCTGCTTGGTGACTACCTAAGAGCTCGGGAGTGCGGAGTGGTTTGGGGAGTGAGGAGTGGAGAGGGTGAGGAGCGGGAGCAGCAAGCCGCAGTTGGGAGCCAGCGGGAGTTGGGAGTGTGTGCAGGGTGAGGAGTGCGAAGGGCAACGCTGTTCCGAGGAATGGCTTTGGATTGCTCCGAGGAATGGTGCATCACTCTAAACAAAACGAGCTGTCAAGTCAAGCACCGCGGCTGCAAGGAACTCATTTGGTCACCACCTCCCTTTCGACGTCAGGTGAACTCTTTGCGATGGTTCCCAATTAGCCCAGATGAACCCGGGATGATCAAGGATGAGGTCAAGGCACCACTTCGCGCAGGAGCCCTGCACCTCCGACCAGGGCTTTGGCGTTGCTGATCTCAATCTCGCGTGTCTCCTGCACGGAGTCCCGGATCTCATTCCCCAGCACCTGCCAATGCCAAATGCAATGCCAGCATCTGTGGCAAATCAAACTAGTCACGGAGGTCACTGTCGAAAGGCTGGACACGACAGCAAAAGAGAACTGTCGCATCCAAGCTTAACAGCAAATGCAACAAGCACTTGTCGAACATCCCGCCCCAACAATCAATTTCACACTTTTCTGACACTGGTGACCAATGTAACCCATGTTCAACCCCGGGCCACGGGAGTTCATGCCAGCGGTATGATCCAGCACGTCACGATGTCAATTTACATGTCAATGTGGCTCGTCCTGCCTGTCAAGCTGGTTCTCAAATATTCTGCGTAACTTGTCTTGAGTACACGTTGTGACTTGACTTCGCGTCGGTGTCAAGCTTTTGTTGACGGGCCAAACCAGATCTGAGGATTGGGTGATGCTACTCCCTCTGTTACTGCGGTGCCTGATTCGGCACAACCGCAATAGTTGTGCTTTCTGCCTCGTTCTTGGCCTCCAACCAGCTCCACAGATCCCAGAGCTTCGAAGAAAGCAGCTGGCGAGCCTTCGGGCAGCTTAGCGGAAGGCCAACGCCAGGCCCCGGCCCCCGTCGAAGCGCAGGCCTCTCGCTTCAGCGCCTCGCATGTCAAGTGGCTGCATGCCTGGTCGAAACGATTCAGGCTCCCCTCGATGGGACTCCTGGCACCGTCCGAGCCGCTCGTGTCACGAACTATCGGACCTCGGGACGTCCTCTCTTCCAGTCGCGGGTCGTAGTCTGACAGCTCGGGCAGCTGGGATTGAGCGAACTCGGTCAGGTCCTGTGTTAATGGCACCAGGAATCCTGCGGTCAATTGCGACAGCGAATCTGAATTCCGAGGGTTAGATTTCGCTCTTTGCTGGCATCTGCAGAAGCAAGCTGGGAACCTTCGTAGATCACATACCTGCAAGTCAGCTTCGCTCGAGCCGGCAGGTTTGACTTCGCAGCTGGGCACCGGTTCATGGATGGGACGTTCACCTGCTGGGACTTTCGCACCTCTGCCACCACGAGCTCCATCACACCGGCAAGATGCCTGTGGCGGCCGGGGTCGGGAATTGAGACCAAAGCTTGCGAGCCACTGCCTGCCAGTCACATAAACACCGCCCATTTCCAGTGGCTTTCGATGGGCCGCAAGATGCGAGCGCAAGGCACTCACGGACTCGTCAAAAGTCGGCATTCCCATAAGTGGGACCTGAGCGATGTCACAGGGACCTTCCTCGCTTCCGCCAGCCTACTGCATGCTGGAAGCTGGCAAAGCACTCCCCTTCTAGAGGCCTGAGGCCTTCACACCCCCAGATTCCATTTCTGGGTTGCTTCAAGCCCGTCCCACGCTTGCCGCATTGGCGGTTGCCACATCAGCTTGTCCAGCCCCCTCGACACCGGTCGCACCAAGCCATCTTTGGCGAGCCAAGCCGAAAACACCCGCAAACATCGCAACGAGAATCCAAATTGCAACAAGCATTGCGCAAGATGCAAGCCCGGCCGATTGTCTAAGGATAAAACCGTGAAGAAGCTCCTGTCCGGGAAGCACTCCCTGACTGTATCGCGAAGCTCCTGCGACTCATTCGGTGCTCCGAAGGCAGCTTCGGCTCCGTCACTCGGTCCTGCCGACCCGGATCGTCGAACTGCTGCTGCAGAATCTTCTCCAAGGCACTTCCCTCATATCTGAGGGTATTCTTGTTCACAACGAACACCAGCTCCTGGCACAATCGCAGCCATCAGTTAAGCGGAAGGGTTCTCTGCCAGCAAACGTTGCATCGCCTGCTCTGGCAGGTTGCACGATTCGTCCAAGCGGAGTAGCGATCGCGCAGCCAGGGAAACACCTCGGATTTTTCATGGGAAGCTGAGCAGAATCGCACAAAACTCTGCGAGTGCACTTTCCAAGAACGAGGCCCAAGGTCTGCAAAGCCTGCTCGGTTGCCATTCCGTTCGCGACGAACACGACCTGAACCATTCATCGCGAAAGTCGACTCTCCGTCACGCACAGGAGAGCCTGGGTCCCGAGGAGAAGTCCAAAGACGTTCACCAGGCTCCGGATGGCCGCCTGAGAGCAGGGAACTTAAAGAAGTGTGGAGCCAGAGGCATCTCTCTCCGAGGTGCCATGGCATTGTTGCCACCTTCGCAATCCAAGATCAACAAGGTTTCTCCCTCCTGGCATGGAATTCCAGCAGTCTGCTCTCCTGAAATCGGCGAGACAACAGCCAGTCTGGCCACGGGCACCGCGACGGCATCGATGCCTTCGGTCACTGACTCCGCAGAATCGCTGGAGACGAAGGCATCCTCCGAAGGCATCTTGTAGTGACTAAAGTGACTATGTACGAAAGACCTTTATGTATTATTTGGCGATAGGCTCTCTGTATAGTATACTGATCCAGTCCACCGCCTCCAGCCCAGCCCCCCCCCAATGAAATTGTATAAAATCCTTAAAATCCTTAAAATTAAATTGGCCGCCCAATTAAACTGTAAAGATTTTGTAAAATTTAAATGCCCTTAATTTTTGAAAATCCTTAAAATTTAATTGGCCGCCCAACTAAATTTTAAAGATTTTAAGAATTTTAAGGATTTTTTACATTTAATTGGGGTCTCCGGCCTCCAGCCCAGCCCCCCCAATTAAATTTTATAAAATCCTTAAAATCCTTAAAATTAAATTAGCCGCCCAATCAAATTTTAAAGATTGTATAAAATTTAAATGCCCTTAAATTTTTTAAAACCCGTAAAATTTAATTGGCCGCCCAAGTAAATTTTAAAGATTTTAAGTTTTTTATGGATTTTATACCATTTAATTGGGGGCCTCCGGCCTCCAGCCCAGGCCCCCCCAATTAAATTTTATAAAATCGTTTAAAATCCTTAAAATTAAATTGGCCGCCCAATCAAATTTTAAAGATTGTATAAAATTTAAATGCCCTTAAATTGTTTAAAATCCTTAAAGTTTAATTGGCCGCCCTTAAAGATTTTATGGGTTTTAAGGATTTTATAAAATTTA